GTAGGGATGGCAATGGGTACCCATTACCCGCGTACCCTGTGGGTAAAAACCCTATTAGGGTAAGGGTATGGGACAAAAAATTACCCATGGGTACTTAAATGGGAAAATATCATACCCATCGGGGAGAGAGGGTACGGGTATGAGATCGTATAACCCATACCCGCGTACCCATGTACCCATCTAAAATGTTAACAGGTGGGTTTCCGTTAATATCCCAATGTATTGATTTCCCCTATTAATCACGCTAGGTAAAAACTCTAATGTGTATTCAAATTATCTCTATAATTTATCATGATTTCGTGAACTTAAAGTGTATGCATATGTGTTGTTATTTATGATTATGTGTTCTTATTTATCATTTTTATATGTCACTTTGTAGGAAAGTACTTTTGTTTATGAGAATATGTTGTTGTTACAATATGTTGTTGTACATTGTTGTTTAAAATGTGTTGCTATTAATAATTTATGATTATATGTTACTTTTTACAACTATTGTCTACTCAATTGATGTGCTGTAAACGCGGGTATTTTTACCCGCGGGTATCCATATACCCTGTCGGGTGACGGGTATGGGAAAAAATTGTACCCTTGACGGGTATGGGTATGGGTGATGGGTAAACTCAGGGCGGACGGGTAAGGGTATGGGGTAGCTCCACCCGTACCCATACCATGCGGGTGCCATCCCTAACTAGGGGGGCCCACGAGGTGGGGGGCGCACCCCCCACCAGGGGGGCCCACGAGGTAGGGGGCGCGCCCTAGGGGGGTGCGCCCCCCACCCTCGTGGACAGGGTGTGGGTCCCCTGGTCTTCATCTTTGGCAAGGATTTTTCATTATTTATTATAAGATATTCCGTGGAGTTTCAGGACTTTTGGAGTTGTGCAGAATAGGTCTCTAATATTTGCTCCTTTTCCAGCCCTGAATTCCAGCTGCCGGCATTCTCCCTCCTTATGTAAACCTTGTAAAATAAGAGAGAATAGCCATAAGTATTGTGACATAAGGTGTAATAACAGCCCATAATGCAATAAATATCGATATAAAAGCATGATGCAAAATGGACGTATCAACTCTCCCAAGCTTAGACCTCGCTTGTCCTCAAGCGAAAGCCGATAACGATAAATATGTCCTCATGTTTAGAGATAGAGGCGTCGATAAAAATAAAATACGGACATGAAGGCATCATGATTGTTCTCATAACAGCAACATATATAGATATTGTCATATGATTTCTTATGTTCAAGTAATAATCTATCACAATGCAACAGTATGAATCATAAACTGTATTGAGAACTAACAAACTATAATCTCAGACATTGAAGCAATTGCAATTTATCATAACATCAGAAAGAGTCTATGTCAGAGCTTAAAAGCAAGTTCACATACTCAACTATCATCTAGTCCTTCATAATTGCTAACACTCACGCAATACTTGTGGTTATGAAGTTTTAATCGGACACAGAGAAATATAGGGGCTTATAGTTTCGCCCCACAACCTTTTACCTCAAGGGTAATGTCAACAATAATAATTCATGCTCCCCTACATCCAATTATATATATATATATATATATATATATATATATATATATATATATATATATATATATATATATATCAGGTTCTTTCCAACATGCTGGGCTTGCCAAAGGATAAAATGAAAAAGGAAAGGTGAAGATCACCATGACTCTTGCATAAGATAGAAGATAATAATAAAAGATAGGCCCTTCGCAGAGGGAAGCAGAGGTTGCCATGCGCTTTTATGGTTGGATGCATAAAATCTCAATGCGAAAGAACGTCACTTTATATTGCCCCTTGTGATATGAACCTTTATTATGCAGTCCGTCGCTTTTATTACTTCCACATCACAAGACCGTATAAAGCTTATTTCCCCCATACCAATCAATCATACATATTTAGAGCAATTTTTATTGCTTTGCATCAATGACAACTTACTTGAAGGATCTTACTCAATCCATAGGTAGATATGGTGGAGTCTCATGGCAAAACTGATTTAAGGGTTTTGGAAGCACTAGTAGTATCTCTACTTGGTGCTGAGAATTTGGCTAGCATGAGGGGGAAAGGCAAGCTCAACATGTTAGAGGATCCCTGACAACATACTTTATCTCAGATATAAGAAAACATAACTCATTACGTTATCTTCCTTGTGCAACATCAACTCTTTAGCATGTCATATTTTAATGAGTGCTCCCAATCATAAAAGATGTCAATAATAGTATATTTATATGTGAACCCCTCTTTCCTTATTACTTCCTATTAATTGCAACGATGACCAAAGCTATGTCTGCCAATTCCCAACAACTTTTAATCATCATATTCTTTTTATGTGAAGTCATTACTCTCAATAAGATCAATATGAACTCTTTGTTTCTTTTTATTATTTTTCTTCTTCTTTCTTTATTCACTCAAGGCCATGGCAAAATAATCAAGCCCTTGACTCAACACTAATCTTTATTATATATAGCTCACGGACTCGATTACATAGAGAGTTCATAAAGCAAAACTCAAAACTAGATCATGCCATAAACTTTATTCTACTAGATAAAAATACTACTGATAGGATCGAACTAAGAAAAAGGGTAAAGATAGGAGATGTGGTTGTGATACGATACCGGGGCACCTCCCCCAAGCTTGGCAGTTGCCAAGGGGAGTGCCCATACCCATGTGATTATGTCTCCTTTTTCGGGGTTGGTGAAACATTCTTGGCGATGTCGCCCTTTAGGATACGATTCTCCTCCTCAAGCTTATTGACTTGCTGCTTGAGGTCCATTATTTCCTTGCGAAGCTTTCCTGTAACTGCTAAGGCTCCTTGCACCCAAGGGTGTTGCATAGCTGCGGGAGAACAAGTGACACTCCTCTTCATATTTTCATAAGAAAGAAATCTAACATTGGAAGGAGGTTTAGTTGTAGCCTTTTTGCAATAAGAGTATCGATCCTATAAGGAGCACAGAAATTAGGCTTTGTCTCTTGTAAGGATTTATGGAATTGTGCCTGCAAGTCTGTGGTAGATAAAAAGGCAAAATAAAGGTGGAAATTTGTAATGTTTTGAGTGATGAGCGGCTGAAGCCAAAAAGTACAAAAAAGTAAAAGCACAACACAGAGTACATGAAGTGATGAAGC